GCGGCGCGTTCAGAGTTACGCGTACAAGCCGCTTCCGCGGCTTATCCGCAGCTTGCCGAGATGACGTGTGTCATCGGCCCGAGCAGACGCGGAGTTGTTCCTTGTTCTCGTTTCGGTTACATTACAGTACAGCATTTAGTATATAATCTAGAGTAGTTTTCGTAGAGTAGACAAGTTTCTTGAATCCAACAACTCATCCACTCACCTGTGTGACACTACTTGGTTTCTTGATGACTTCTTGCAGGGTCTTACACCACCAGGACCTCACACGCGCGGATATGTGCGTTAAGGCTCCTGCAGGAATTAGTTGGTAGAACTTGGGATGACCAGATGGACCTACTCGATGCAGTGGGTCAAGCTGAATGGGATAATGGTCACGTCGCCTGTGACCGCCGATATTCGTTGGTACGGTCCTGCTTCCCGGACGAGTTCCATTCGCCGCCGGCTAAATGTGCATCGGGACTCCGATCGCCTGCTTGATTTCGCCGTTCCCAAAGTGCATGATCCCGTAGCAATATTGTGCGGCTGGTGACTCCTGGCGCTCGATCACACCACGTTCGTCGGGGGAAAGCTCCAAGATGGACCTCGGAGTGAGAGGTATAATGTCGTTCACCTGTAGCATCCCCCGGCGCATCTCCTCAGGACTACGATTCCCTTTCCCCATGAAGACGTCCAAGAAGTCGAGTATCTCGGTAGGTTCTATTCCGATATCGATGTGGGCCCGAAAGAGTTTTTCGCTGCTAGGGTGCTTATCGAGGAGGTCAAACTGCTGGATCAAGGCGGCTTGGAGATATCGAGCGAGAAATCCGTTGGACAAAAGGTTTAGCACAAGCTTCGTGATACCCGACCCCTTGACTTTGTTGCAGAACTTCTTGTGGGCCGGCCTGTTTATGAGCTGTGAGACAAGAGAAGCAGTACTAGTCCCGGCGATTCAGAAACTAAGTAGTTTTCCTTCTGACACTGAAGGGGTGTCCGAAATGAGCCAGATTTTGGTGCGAGAAGACGGATCTAACCTCCTTGGAGCAATAGCGAGAATCTTTGCACTTGAGAACAGAAACATCAGACGTCGAAAGACTGCATGTCGGCCAGCCCACCCTTCCACACCGGCTAAATCCTCGTCTTCTTACACCTTATGGCAATTTGCGCAAACGATGCCAGACATCAAATCTCGCACCGCCCGGATCTCGTCCGATGTGCGTGCTTCGGACTTGAAGACGTCTGTATACAGGGGATGGACAGCCATCTTAATGGGGCCCAAGTTTTCGAGCCGAGCCTGGTCTTTGGCGTCCTGCATGGTGAAAGATAAAGACAAGGTGGGTGTGCTTAGCTAATATGGCTTCTTTAATGATTGCCGGGTGACGCCGAAGGTTTGATGGCCATGTCAAGCCGAGCGCTGTGAATCGACCGTGAATGCGATCCAACCAAACCGGACTCGGAGTACCTGCTCATTGTTGAAGATAAAACCAAACCTTCGGTTTTTCTCTCACAGCCGCTTGAAACAAAATCCCACCAGATCATGATTGGGACCCCTTTCACCGACAAGACAGAACCTCGTTCCCGAACTTCGATATTTTTGGCATTTTAGACGGTCCATACATGTCGGCGGACCCGGGAAATTAACAGCTAGGAGGCAGACTTCACAGGCCAGGCTGGACATCCGCGCCTGGACCTGTGTCTGTAGATCATGTTGAAATCGGTTTTGGCCGAGGTCCATGCAGTCTGTTCACGGGCGCTGTGGAAGTTCCGCCGGCGAACAAGATCGTTGTTTCTTACCTCACTGCTCAGGTCGATGGATATTCCGAGTCCTCGGCCGCTCCCGAGAGGATTCAAACCGTACCCTGGGTAAATTGGTTGGTATATAAATGCATCTCAAAGGCCAAGGAACGGCTGTTTAATTCTAGATTTGCATGAAATCATTGCCCGAGGCGAGGCGTTGGAGATCCAGATAACGCAAACTCCTTGATTTGGCTAGGCACCTCTGCATTCACTTGGTATCCACGAATCACGAATCGCGAATTTTGATAGGAGCCGTACTAAGTCTAAACTGGTTTCTTTAAGCGCGCGCACATGGCTGGGTATTCGATAAATTTATAGCGAAGCATTGAGCGGCAAGTAGTTCGACAGTTCCGGCCAGTCAATAGTTCACCCAACTCCGGCGTTTCCTTCAAGAGGTGGCTGAATTTATTTCGTACCCGGACATCGGCCGAAGGGCAATGTATCATTTATTCACCAAGGGCTTGGCTAGGATGTTTCGTAGTCTCATTTCCCGACTGCCACGACATCCCAATTTGGGAGCCCTGTCGTGACAGTCTGGGACGTAATCAGTCGATCGGATCCAACGCTCTCGTTTCACGGGCCAATTTATCGAGTACACTATACGTACACATTTGCAGCTCCGGAAGTACAGTTCAATTGAATTCTTACTTCGCAAAGATTATTTCGCAAGAGACGTACAACCTGAAGGCAGCCTGAACGTGTTGGTTGAAGTTAGTTCAACACCCAAGGTCAGAAGAAATGGTCACCGATATCAGCGGAGACCGGATGCAGGAGAATCTTGGAGTCCGATTAAAGAGTTTTCAAGTTCACATACACATGTTCGGCTGACCCTGAGGGATGACGGGCAAAGTGCGGCGGACATGTTCGGTTAGTGTGGAGTGAGTGTACGTATATTCTCACACTCCCGAAGATGCTCATGCCTTGCCAAGCTGCAGCGTGCCACGGGAATCAAGGAGATAAGATGTCCGGTGGACGCCACAGGAGATGCACGGAGGTCTGGAGCCAAGGGCGATTTGAACCTACCTGCGCGGCAGCCGAAGGCATCCTCGATCGGGACCTGGCTGCAGTTGGCATCAATTTCTGATTTCACTCTTTGCTCCAAACCGCCATGTCATATTGCAGAACGCGCCGTGCCTAGACCACATCAGGGACAGTTGAAGGTGGTTGGATGGTGGACGCGAAATCGGGGAGTCAAACTGTCCCAAGTTGTCCAGATTCTTCTGCCGGGACTCGGCATGCGGTCGGCCGCCGAACTTCTTTAAAAACCCACGCGCGATGTGGGTCCTCCGACAGACAACTCCCTCGTCTTTCACAGCACTGCGATGTTGTTTCTGTACTCGCTCATCCCTCTCTTCACTGTCGGGGTCGCCGCGCAGAATGCTTCGACTACCGCTGCCGCTACTGCGGCTCAGGCGGCGTGCCTCGCGACTCGACTCGACCTTGGACCTACAAAGGTCAAAGCGTCGGGGACCCAGTACGACGACACTACCGAGGCATACTGGAGTTTCTTCAACAGGGGAGACGAGCCAACGTGCATCGTATACCCTTCCAGCGCCTCAGACGTTCAGGTTGCGATGGGGCACATCTTCCATAGCCAGTCCGACTACGCGGTCCGCGCCGGGGGCCATAGTCCTATGATTGGCTGGAACGGGTAACTCATCGCTCTGTTATTCACTTTCGGTGCTGATGAACGGACCCACAGTATCAACAATGGCGTGCTCATCTCATTCGAGGACATGACGGCCGTGTCCTACGATGCCACCTCGGACACGATTACCGTACAGCCTGGCGCAACCGCCGGCAGCGCTGAAGCCGCCGTCGAGTCCCACGGGGTTTCTCCCGTGTGGGGCAGAGCCGAGTACGAATCCTTTTGTCCACCAGTGTCTCGTTTGTCTGACAAATGCGCAGTGTCATCGGTACTGGACTGCTCCTTGGAGGCGGTATAGCCTTCCAAGGACCGCTTTATGGCTGGGCTTCCGACAGGATCAAGGAGCTGGATGTCGTCCTCGTCACGGGCCAACTCGTTACTGCGACGGCGACGAACCAGTATTCGGATCTCTTCCTGGCACTCAGAGGGGGTGCGAATCGATTCGGTATCGTCACCCGCTACGAGCTTTACGCCGCCCATACTGGGACGCGGAACGATAAATTGTGGTACGGCGGCCTCATCGTCGTAAGTCCACCCAAGCGAGGTTTTGTTGCACGTTCAATCTCCTGTGCAGTATCCGGGCTCTGCTGCGACAGCTTTGCTCAAGGCGACTGCGCATTATGTGCGGGACTTGACGGATCCCAATGCTGGTATGTCTCCTCCACCGTTAGTCTTCACTGGAAGTTGATTTTCTCCCAGGCGCCATCATGATCTTGAACGCCTACGATACAACCTCCACCACAGCTCACGCCTGCTACTTCTTCTACAAAGGCACCTCCCTCCCCACCAGCATCTTTGGCGAATTCCTCTCAATTCCAAGCACCTCGCAGACTTTCTCCAGCTACAGCTACTACGACATCACCTTCCTGATCCAGGGCGACAACGGTCCCAACGGGCAGCAATTCGGCGCCTCCTCATTCATAGGCGACGAAACTACGTTTATCAACGGCTACGCCAAAGCTGTCAACTTTACGCAACACTTTGCAGATCAGCTCATCCGCTCCGAGTATACTATCTCGCCCATTCCGCAGTCAGTGTGGGCTGCGAGTCTTTCTGGGCCTAATGCGATTGGGAATCCCGGGGTGAACTACGCGACGGTTGATTTTAACCTTGTGTTCCCGGATAATGAGGCGACGAGGCCGCCGTTGCTCAATGCTGCGTATAAGCTCTTGCTTGCTCAGTTGCGTGCACCCAACTCAGTGAACTCCGATTTCAACCACTGACTCTTTTTGGTTTCCAGGAATCCACCTTCGCCCGGACTTCCTCTGTATATCAACGAGTGCCATCAGAGCCAGGAGGTGTTGGCGAGTTATGGGAATTATGCGGCGCTCCAGGCTACGTACGCCAAGTATGATCCCACCGGGTGAGTTTGTTGATCTGAGATTTGAATGTCCGCTGATGATGTGGGAATGGTAGGTTCAACGTCGCGCATACCAGGGGGCCTAAAGGGCTCTGATCTAACTATGTCAATGTTGGTTTTGGGGTACGATTCGAAATCTGAGTGTCTTGTAACATCACCTTATTTGTCATGCTTGAGTGTAATACATGCAATCCACTCCCATAGCACCGTTCCAGCTCCGATGTGGTGTATCGGTAACATATCCGCCTCTCATCCTTGATCCACACTCTGGTATTGACGCGGTTGCGCGGGGTTCAATTCCCCGCATCGGAATTCGTTTTTGTACCCGCCGGCGTTCCAGACTACATATCATGCGCACGGTTTCAATCCCAATTTCGTCTTCTCGCTTCCGTTCTTGAATTTTTCCCACATGGGCATATTCCTTTGCTGGAAATACCTTGCCTGTTCCGATGTGGATATCCGTACCGCGGCACTGCACGCTTACTCTGGGCTGCCTTTCCAGATCCACCTCCAAGTTCCTTACACACTGATATCATTGAAAGCAGAAGCAGACCGCCATCTCACGCAATCTGTCGCCGCAAATATAATGGTCCTGCGCGTACGTCCGAGTCCCGGCGCTGTTGAACTTCATTGTTCTCTGATTGACATAGTACAGTCGTATCCGCCGCGTTAAAATCAATTTGAAACACATTACAGGAATACAGATGAAACTGGCTACACTCCAGTCTGTCCCGGGAACCCGCAGTCGGCCTGGGTGCCCGCCGATACGGTCTGGAAGTCCACCTCGCCAACGCAATCCCCGTACTCATACGCCAAGTCCTCGGTACCCACCGCGCCAGGGTGCGTCGTAGTCGGAACTCCAAAGATAGTCTTCTGATACGGCAAAAGCGCGCAATGATTCGCGGGTTCTCCCGCATTCCAAGGGTACCACTCGACGAAACCCACTTGCGAGCTGGCTATGCCGCCGTAGTTGGTTGGGAGCTTGTATGTTCCGACTTGGGGGGTCCGGGCCGTTGCAAGCACGGCATATACGAGAACTCGGTTGGGTTAAAAGTATGGAACATAAATAATTGCTCAACCATTTGAATTGAGCACAAAATCCTGCAACTTGTGGTTGAGAGACTGCAAGTCATTGATCAGTGATCATGATGTGGCCAAGTGGCTGTGTAGAGAACCCGGCTCCCTGTGACGTGACTATTGTGATGCCTTTCTGGGCTACCTCACTCTGTCTGCAAGCCAAAACCTTGAAGAAAAAATGGCTTTTGACTACATGGGAGTACTCACCATAATATGTAGAACCCTTCTATCCCTTGACTTTACCTTACACTGCCAAGCCTAATGAGATCGGTTCAAATCTCTGTGGCCTGCAATTCAGCTGCCATTTGGCGCACTGGGACACTCCAACTACAACAGAAAGTGTTAGTGATGGATGTACAATAGGACTGTTGTGAAATAGCCAAGCACTCAACAGACCAGGGTCCAAAATCCTGTGGATGGGATGTACCCACTGGGTGCTCCAGTATCCAGGGTTTCAAGGAAAATGTGGGGTCTTCGCCCACATCCAGGCCGAGATTTTGTCTTCAAGCTGCTCCAGGGCTGCACAGTTGGGGTGAAATCTCAGTGAGGACACTAGAAATCAATGTTAATGAATATGAACATCCATAACAGAATTTCCCTCATTTTGACTGCAATTTTTTTTTGGGATTTTTCTTGAAGGTGTGTTTAGCAGAAGTGCATGTCCTTCTTCAAGCATACCGACATGTCAGAGGCCCAGGGTGTCCAGTGAATCTAGAATGAGCTGATCACAAACCACAAGTAAATCACCAATATCATATTCAATATTTGAAATGAGACCTCAGTCTCAGGGAACAAAACTCAAGTCCAGGTACTGAAGGTTCACTCGCAAAATCTCAAGTCATTTGGGGGGAAATTGGATGCTCTGGAGAGAAAAGAAAAATGTGCTGATGGCAGCTGTCAAAATCAGTGATTGTAGCCGCAAAAAGGAAATGCACAGCCGCCACAATCAAAAGTTGTAATGATGTTAAAAAGTTGCCCAACTTCTGGCCTGACCAAATTTTAAAAGAACGAGAACTTAGCAAGTAAGTTCTCGTAATATGCACCCGCTGGCCGGTCACGGTGTCGATGACAGTGCCGACCCAAGTGGTATTCCCCGCGTTTTTGACCTCCATCAGATACATGCGGCCGTAGACGCCGTTCCACTCGACGCTGCACGAGACTCCGGCGCCCCCATCCGCACCAGAGGTGCAGAACCCCGCGTCGGTCGTAGTGCTTCCCGGCACGAAGCTCGAGAACACGGCGTGCAGAACTGTCTGCCCGTTGTTGTCCGGCCGTGGCTGCAGTCCTGTGTAGCCAATCTGCGTGGCGCCAGGGTTGTTGGTCTCAACGAAGCCGAACTGCTGCGCAAAGTAGTAGCCCGAAATGTGGTCGGCGGTGACGATGGTGAGAGGGAAGGTGATATCCGGAAGACCTGCGGTTGGCACACCGCTCATGGACCAGGAGATGCCCACAAGTGCGTATGATGCTGGGGTGAGGTGGAGAAGGGAAATTGCAATAGGGAGTAGGACTGGGAATTTCATCTCTGAGGTGGCGAGAGTGTTGAGCTCCAGTCCCTGTGCTACCCTCCTCTTATACGAATCGGAACTCACTTCCGGTGGCGGCGTGAACGAGTCAGAACCCCGACTCGGACGGTCGCAGTGTGGGTGGCATCCCAGCTCTCCATCGGCTAGAGGCCCGTTGATCTTCTCCGGAGCTGGTGGGATCCTTGGCATGTCAGCCAACTGTTACCGTATGTCTAATTCAATGCATTGCTATACGATTTCAGCTCGGACAATACCAATTGAAAATCTCAGAGATAATGCGAAACAACGAACTTGTCCATAGCCAACACAGCCCGTGACACAATCACCTCCCTCGGACTGCTTAGATGCGCGTGACTTCTTCCTTGACCGGATGGGTCTCGAAAACCGGGTTGTGGAAGCTTACTTCATACCGATGGAAGGGCGCACCAGAGAGCTCAGAGGATGTCAGGATCACGGAAGGATCGTGTGAACATTTGGTGAACATTCCAGAAAGCAAACACCAGTAGGACGTATCAGTCGATCTAATATGGCTGCGGCCGCACGTCAAGGATGGACATGGTCAAGAGCCGCTGGCTGGCAGCTAGCATGGTCGAGGATCACATGGTAATTAGATTGAACTTCGATTGAACTGGACCAAGTATAAGGTGGTTCTCGTTTCCCAATCAGGATTCAGTGACCACCATGTCGCTCACAGACTGTCCACTTAGTGTCGTCAAAGTCCGGTTCGAGTAAATGGTTCGAACCCGAACCGAACCGAACTGAACGCGAAGTTCAGGTTCAAAGGTCAGCACATGGTCAAACCGAACCTGAAGTTCAGGTTCGAAGTTCGGCCATCGCAGGGAAGTTTGAACCCGAACCGAACCCGAACCCGAAACCCACTGTTATTGATCATTTTCTCACGATTTTGCCAACTTTTTGAAAAGATTTTGATTGTACTGACCCTCAGAGTAGAGAAGATAAAACAGCATCTTGCCTGAGACTGTTGGTCCCAGTGCAAATGGGGCCATTGACAGTTGATGGGCTTGTGATCCCATTGTTGTCCCATTGATGCAACCAAATTGGGGCTTGTAACTGGCTCAGAAGGCATGCAGGCATTTCATGGAGCTAGATATACTTACCATATGCTTTCTTGAACAATATTTGACCGCCAAACTTGCTTTGAACCTTGGTGAAATGCAGGAGGTTCGAACTCGGTCCGAACCTGAACTGAACCTGAACCCAAGTTCAGGTTCGGAGTTCATGATCTTGCCGAACCGAACCCGAAGTTCAGGTTCAGCGTTCAGAGGAAGGGCCTCCGAACTCGAACCGAACCGAACTTTGATATCACTATGTCCACTCGGCCGAGTCGAGTTTGCGATGAAAATCTCCCGGATGTCCTTTTTGAATCTCGTACCGCTGACTAGGCATGTAAGGCTGAAACCATATCGTTTCCGTTTGCAGATCTGGGCAAATCAAACGGAAACGGTACGTAAACGTTTGTAAACCGTTTAAAACTGTTTTCAAACGGTATCTGGAGTGCCATGCAAAACCAGCCCACAACAAGGACCTACCTATGGGTGTTGAGTCCTTGGGTTAGTGTATGGTCACCATCTGGTTGCTGTCCAAGCCTGGGGGACTGTTCGGGGCTCTTTGATTGTTGGGAAATGAGCATTCGGCACATAGCCGCCTCGGCGATGCCTCGGGTAATTAGTAACCTTCGACTCACCTCGACTCAGATTTATGGAACACTTAGTAAGAATATTCTGGTATGACTCACAAGTTGACTCACAGGATAGTATATATACGGTAGATACAGAGGGAGTTCCTCACGAGCTTGTACCACCCAGCCTTACCGCTATTGTGTAAATCTTATTCTGATTAACCGGATCTCGTGTAATAACCGTACCAATAATGCAACGTGCCCAGTAATCCGTGGGATTCATGATGCATTATTGCCGACATCTCACCGCCGGGCCAAAGGTCAATAATGCATTGTCCCGAGGGTACAGTTATTATTTGGAGGTTTTATTTCCCTGTCGGTTGTTCAGTTTATTAATTAGTTTCTTTGTTTACAACTGCTATCCTTTCGACCGAAGGGTCAATTCGCGTAACAAGCACCTTTTTCTTTTGCACCAGCCATCATGAATCAAATGGCGCATCTGTTCGGATTTCGCGCTGACGAAAGAAAGAAAAAAAATGTGGCGGTGCGTACAGCTCCCGTCAACGGCTACTCCACTTGCCTCCTCGGCCGATCCCGGCTCGGATGTGCTTCGGCCCGCACAGTAAAAATTCCCCGGCACAGAATCGGGCCGCCGACTGGGTCAACCTTGAGCTCTCGGCTGATATCGGGAGACTTCTTTTCAAGTCCCAGCGCCGACGTACGACCGGTTAGAATACACATTAGTGTCATTTTTTAGGGCACTCTTTTGCCCCGGCATGTAACATTCATGCTCAATGCTGAAAGTGCTGGCCCCAGTTTGTGCTCGGCCACGGAGCGGGAGCGAACGCTGGGCCGAGACGCAAAAAAGAAGTGTACGGCAGGCGCAGGTTGCCATCTGTCAATCGGTTGCTGCCTGTCATCGGGAGCAATGTATTCCTCGCTCTTGCCTCGTTTTCTCTTCTCTACCTCCTCCCTCAATTCTCGCTCCTCCTGCCCCAGATGCCTTTGCTGCAAACTCCTCCCCGGTGTTTCTCTCTCTCTCTCGTGTCGACACTCCCGCTGTAGCTACACGG